GAGATAACTTCGTTCCATTTTTTTTTGGAGTTGTTCTCAACATGTCAAGTTGGCTCCGGGTTAACGGGAAAAGAATAGCGAAGAGGGATATTTGAAGTATTTTTTTCCCTTTCTTTTCTGCGCGTTCGATACTTAACCAAAGAATCAACGTAAGGTAAATCGCCTAATAGGTATGCCTATAGTTTTATAGGAAGTTCATGAAATGAAAGCTTAATGAAGAGGTCTTGCCCGTCTCTCTCTGTCCGCCCTTCTGCACGTATCTTTTTCGAAACTACTGAACGGTTATCACAATTTGGAAATGGGAATTTGTTGGATTAACTTATTCAGAAAATGACACTGCTGTGGCTGGACGACACGAATTCGATTCCCAGCAGGGACACTGACGTTCTTCTTCACCATCACCGTCAAAATCGACAGTGAGCCCCACCGAGCCTCCTATACAATAAATTGGATACTGTGATCTCTCCCTGGGGGTACTGTGACTAGAGCATGAAGCTGACCACTAACCTAGCATCAATGTTAAGAATTTAAGATTGAAATGCACAAAACTATAATTTTACCTGTTGTTTTGTATGGGCATGGAACTTGGTCTCTCTCATTAAGGAAAAGCTCAGATTGCGGTGTCTGAAAACAGCATGTTTAGAAGAATGTTTGAACCTAAGTGAGAGGAAGAAGCAGTAGCTGGAGAAAACTGCATTATGAGAAGCTCCATAATTTGTACTCTTCACAAAATATTATTAAGATAAATCAAGGAAGCTGAGATTGTTAGGCCATGCAGGACACATGGAGTTATATGCATACAAAGTATTGGTTGGGAAAGCTTGAAGGAAAGAGAGCATTCACAAAACACAGATACAGATAGGAGGATAACTCTAAAATGAATCTTAATGAAATAAGGTGGGATGTGGACTAGTTGATCTACTTCAGAGTAGAGAGCAATGGTAGGATCTTTTAAACACAGTAATGAACCTTCAGGAACCACAAAAGACAGGTAATTTATTGACTGAGCAAGTAATGGCTTCTCCAGGACAGTGTTTCATGGAATTAGTTTAAGAAATATATGGAGATTCATAAAAGTGACTTTTATTCAACAGTGACATTCTGTGAGTGGACAGTAAGAATACAGATTAATAAGCTGATAATGTACTTTTTTAACTTTCATGCAGTGACTAGTCTTGTCTTTAAATGTAATACAAAATCATCACAAATATTATTAACAGAGCTAAAAAAAGAACCTGCATTAGGTGGAAGATGTACATTCATAGGATTATCCCAGGTTCAAAAGCACAAGTCACAGATGGAGCCTAACTGGACAAAATTTATTAACAAAAGAATAACTGAATAACATATTGGGGGGAGGGGGATTTTTTTTGCAGGATTCCATCAGAAGTCATGTCTTTGTATGTTACATTAAAGCTGAACTTTTCAAGATGGCTAAGCTCCACATTTCAGTTGTTCAGTGATACAGTGATTAGAAGTGAATGTAGATGCATATGCTGAAATTTTGTGGCAGGTCATGGATTATAAGTATGTTGGGGCTGGCAGTTTAAGTTGACTCACCTATCATTATCTTGTCAGAGATATCAATTAGTTTTAATTACTAACATTAACCTGTCCCTAAATATAATCCCCAACTTAATTCTTTGTTACATATTTTAATGTTTAGATTTTAAATGTTTACCTCACTCTAACTAACCTGGTCCAGCCACATATAGGAAAAAATTACATTTAAATCTAAGGCCTTTCTGTATTGACAGAATTCTGTGATGGTAGAAGGCTTATCCCTGAGATGCTCGTAGAAGAAAACTTCAGAAGTTATTTCTGAAAATAAAGTGGGGTTTAGCTCCAGCAGCTCCTAAAGACACTCTGTTTCTGATAAATTTTTCATTACAAAGCCCAAATGTGACACCATCTGAAGTTTATCATATACAAGTGAAGACCTAAAAAGTGTCCAGCAATTAAAAGAATAAATTACAACTCATTAAAAAACAGTATTGTGTAAATACTAAAAGAATGTAACCTATACTTTACAGTCCAAATGGAAATGTGTCAGTGACAATTACAGTTCATGGCATCATAACCTAAAAGTAACAACAGACATCTTCACTGTTCACTATCTCACATATACTATAATTTGTAATTGTCTTAATACAACTGCAATACAAAATTATTGCAAACTGAGCTTTAATTTTGATCATTATTAATGTAAAATTGAAATAATCTGCTGTTTAACTCTGTTAGCATCTTATTCTCTATCAAAATGAACTTTTGTTACAACCTATACATCACACAGGCCACTGCTGTGATGGATATGTGCAATTACTCCAGTAAATATAACATTTTTTACATGGAGGGCAAACAAGGGACTAGTTTGCCTTTCCTTTAAAACAAAACTACCAACCTAAGCAGTGTTACCAACTAATATGGAGTGGTTTCTTCCACAGTATTTCAATGTCCATGTTCTTTCTCTTCATTTCCATGCAAAGTTCCATAACCTGTAACTTGGAAACACCACCCCAACTATCTAAACCCTCTAGCACTCTAAGATTATCACAAGATTCCAATAGCAGATGTACAGTCTTCATGCTCAATTGACCACTGTGAGCTATTGATAGTACCTGCAGCTGTTTTAGAGGGTTCTTTGTTAATAACGTTGCCACCACATTATCATTGAAATTTTGACATCTGGATATCTCCAGTTTCCTAATATTGGTGCAATTAAAGAACAAACATTCAGAATATTCTGAACCAAATTTTAGATCTTTCAGTTCTTTGAAGAGAGGTGTTTTTATTCCCAAAAATGATTCTTCAACAGACTGTAGGTCACAAACCAAACTCATTTTTTTAAGATTTACACACAAAGCACCAATCATAAGCAAATCCACATCTCTCAACTCATGCAGCTCCAGTGATATGATATTATAACCTATTATTTCTAATAAACCTTTGAGATTGCTGTTGACTGCACTACATTGTGCAAGTTTTACTTCCTGTAGATGCTTCAGTGCTCCAAGAACTGAAAGATCAGCTTCAACCCAATGAAGACTGACCTGTGTTAGATATGGACATATGTGTACCAGGATAATTAGATGATCAATTGACACTCTACTGGCTTCATAACTGTGCAGACTAAGAGGTGACATCTTCATGTTTCCTAGTGCGTGGCAATTCAAATCAAACCACACTAACTTACTAAGATGAGGCAATCCAATTAATAGCTCAGTGTACCCCTGTGCACTGAGTGATGTACTACACATATTCACTACCTTTAGGTTATTCAGCTGTAGCAACGAGCTAACACACGTGTCGGTCACATCAACTGAGAACATCACATCAAGATATTGAAGTCTGGTAGAATGTGCCAGCACTTGTAGGATTTTATCAGTGCAGTGACACCTCATACTGAATGACACAAGGTTGTTTAATAAGCAGTGGCCATTTTCAAGCATCTCCACAACAGTGGTCCACACAGGACTCCAACTTCCAGGCCACAATTTCAGAACTTCCAAATGTTGAAAGTTGCCCAAATGTTTGAGTAGTATCTCCCCTATAAACCATGGCCATTGTAACAGATCCACACGTGCCACCTGAGCATGAAGTGCGACGGAGATCATGTTCTCAATAATATCTCGACAACAGTCATCTCCACTCTTTGAAAACCCATCATAAGTACACTTTGCGCGTGAGATGACTGTGGCAATCGCTTCCAACACAGCGGAAGTAACTGAATTTGACAAGTTTAGAGGCAGGCCTGGGTGCAAGAAATATCGCAATTCTTCTAATTCAGAACTCTTAGAACAGTTCTCTCTCACAAGAAAAGAAGGCATGCCCCATCTGGTTGGTAGCACTGTGGCTGGTGTACCAGAACACACTTTACCAAGTAGTTTCTGTCCAAGAGTCAGAATAAATCTTTGTAAAGACTGTAGCACTATGGACTCCAATGATGGTGGCTGTTTCAACTGTGGCATGGCGTATTTATATTATTGGCTGAAATGAGAATATTACATTTTAACTGTGCTACTGTGCTTTAGGAGTCTACTTGATCTATATATATGGCCAAAAATATACAGAATTTCGTCAGACAAACTTCGTTTTAGAAATTATAAGTTCAATTTCATTATCTGATAATAATGAGCGACAAGTTTTAAATTCAAGTTCAAGACATTAAATAAGTAAGAATGAAGTTGCAAAGCAATTACTTGTAAGAATTAGCATAAATAATGGAAATAAACTATCTAGCAGACAAAATGAACAAGTAATATAAATTTATCTGGTCACAGTGGCCAGGTGGTCTGAGGCATGGGCCTTGTTTGTTTGGACACTGGGAACATAGGTTCAAATACCACTCAAGGCATGGATGTTTGTCTGCGTATTTCCGTGTTGTGTGTCGTTGATAGGTAGAGGCCATGTTAAGGGATGTGCAGGAAACTTTACTGATTGACCCACTCCGATAATTTACAGAATTCGATATCGACTATAAAGTTTCAGGAAGAAGTGTAAATAGGGACGAAATAGCTCAAAGCAGAACCTCGTGTTGTTGTTTACAATAACAAAACCTTAAAAAAAGCAGAGTAATGGCTATCAGTGATGAACTATCACATACACCAGTGGCAGTCGTAACCAAAAGGTCGACGTAAATGTATTATTCTAATAAGTCAAATGTGACTTTATTGTCTAAACTAACTCCAAGGAACACAGTCCTTCCTGAGCGGCTAATAATCGCTCGTATTGACAATCCAAATTTTTCTCTTAGAGCGAGCGACCGAGTTTCACACCCACATGAATTGCACAAAAATATATGTAGAGGTATCTTTACAAGCCTACACGGCGTTATTACCCACAAGACATCTTCACCGCTGTAAAAAACCTCAGGAAAAATCATAATCTTGTATATGTTAATGTAATAAGAGCAATATTATTGTATAACAAGAATGACAAGTCTTTAAAGACTGAAAATTGTTTCCTACACGTCGCTTATGTCAACGAGGTCCATTACCTTAAGCAATCCTGAATATGGTCTGGAAATAAGCAGCGTCCATTGAAAAATACAGCATTTAGTGACGTTCTGTACGTGCTTGGTAAACATGTAACGATGATACCAAATGACTAAGTTCTACTAGATACAGATTATAGCAGCTACTACGAGTTGTAGCCTGAACTTTGCACACATTCATCAGCCTACATCGAGTGACGGAATGACCACTTATCTCTTCATGTTCCACGGATCACGCTCCCGGAGCAACGCCTGACACATCAATGCTTCCAGGATGAGCTTCAAGAACTAATGTTACGTAACATCATCACACAATTTTCCTTTGCTGTACTATTTTTCCAAGGCATTTCAGTTCCATTTAACTATCAACATTTTGTGCCTGTCAAACAGTTTACACTACGTTCACTCCTGCTACATTTCTTTACAAATAAACAGTTTGAAAAGATGTCCACTGACAGTTCAATACGGCTAAAATCTCTCTGCGGAGTTTTCTAGACAGCGCAACCGTGAAGAAAAACTTGTGTGTTATGGGTCGAACCAACCTGCCAAGAGGAGGGTCCAACTCTTTCGACCTGAATCTAAGGTCTCAAAGATCTCGCTGAAGAAAAACTAGATCCACGTGGCAGAGTCTTTATTGAGTAATTAATAGTACAACTGATGACCAGTAAATTTCCCGTCTGTTATGGAACCGTAAAGCTCATTACCGTGTTCACAAGAGCTCCCAACTTGTGCCTGTCTCATGACAGATAAACCTAGTCCACTCTCAACTACGACTAAGTTCCCCTTCAGTTAAACTGATTAAAATTTCTTTTCTATTCTCACCCCCTCAATGCGTTTATTATTAATACCTAAACGTTAACACGATATTTTTCTGGATCATGAATAAACTGACATTAATGACAAAGGAAGATATTTATAATATAATAGTAGAGCTTACTGAAGTTTTATTACTGGCAGACGCGGGTTATGTTTTAAATTTGAATATATATTTTTGTCTTGAATCAATTCGATCGCCGTATTTTACTGTTCATTGGGGAGGAACTACTACAATTTTCATGATTGGCTAAAAATCATGGGTTGAGGCAAATTCATTCACAGAATTAAAAATCTTCAAATCATCGCATGTAGTCTTGTAGGTGGCTACCGTTTCGGGGGAACGTATCATCTTTATGTTCAGGGTAGAAGACTAAAATCGACATGCCGTATTCCGCCTTAGGAGTCTCAAATCCAGAATTATTGGCTAATTTCTTCACCTACTAAAGGCGAATCAAAGAACCTACGATGGGAACATATGCAGCACGCATTACATTTTGGTTATAAAAACTACATGTACAGAGACGCAGACTTATAGACGGGAGTATAATATTAGAATGGATATTAGGAAATAGTTGTGAGGGTGGCTACTGGAATGAACTGTCATAAGATAGGGTCCAGTGGACAGTTGTTGTAAACATGGTAATAAAAGTTCGAGCTGTGTACAACGCAATGAACATGTTTATCAGCTGAACCACAGTCAGTTACTCAACAAGGACTCTGTTCACACAATTGGTTATGAAGTATAAAATATTACTGAAAGAAGTTATGACATCTCTGAAACGTTTGCATGCAAAGAGATCAGCAAAAGTCATGCATTAATATTATATAACTTAGCAGGATAGTTTATTGTTCACGTCCATCAGAACGAATTTTAAACACGTGAAAATAGGCCTATTAGACTTATATATTAATCACGTTAAGAGTTGTCCACTGCTTGAGGCATATTTCATATGGGTCCTGCAAGACGTTTCGTGAGTTCTTTCCATTCCTACCTTCCGCTGATTGCTTGCCGCTATAATGTTTTGTGTTACTTGTCTATTTTTAATGTTACTGGGAACAAACCTGAGACCTTCCGAGTAATAAGGTAACCATTATACTTCTCATAGCGGCGAGTAAGAAGACGTTTATCGTTTGGGGTGTTTCGTCAAATAGTCTGGTAGAAACTGATCGACGTTTCAGAAGTGCTGCATCCCTTTCTTGCTCTGATGGAGGCAGTAAAACTCTCCGAAACATAGGTCAATTTCTACCAGACAACATGGCATAATACTCCAGAAGACCTTGTAACCTTACCGTTGTTAGTCTAAACAATCATTAACTTCATATGATACATTCAAAAATCATCCCCTGACACAGAATACAACAGATTTATTTCTGATATTGGTTAGTAGCGATGGTGTCCTTCAGGAACTTACGGTAAAAGCGGCCGACTTATATTTAGTAATCGATTAATGATGTGTAGCAACAGGATATCTGATTTGTTACTCACAGTCAAACAAACAGCCTTTCCGTGTTTTCAAGTCAGAATCCTTTCATTCTCTTACTCTTGTGAACAGCGAAAGTCTGTCGTCTGCCAGGAAATCTGAAACCTAAACTAATCCAACAACTTAACCTACACCAAGTTCACGCAATACTTATCAAAACCTGTATTTAAACAACACAACTCATACTTAAGCAACAGACGAGGATGGGCAGTTCGAGAACATACGAGGAATCGAAGGATGAGGTCAGGTCAACGACATCTTTACCGAGCAGACTTTTCAGGATTCGAGGAATGATTTCTAGAATGCGCTTCAAAATATCTCAAATACTAGTTTAATAAAAGTCCGTAGAGAACATTGGGACATAAACGCGCAGATTGATCAGAGAGCTAGGACTTCCAAATATAGCTAATTTTATAAACTGACTGAAAATGGGCACATAAGAATTCAGTAATATTATATGGCTATTACGTTTTTGTAGTAAAGAATTCTTACCTCGCTCAATTGTACTACAATATGCAAGTTCAATTGGTAGGCGTATAATCAATTCATGGTGTCATGAAACGAAACGAAGAATTACCTCGTTCACTACCCCACAGTGAGTGTTTTCTGTTTGCTTTCCTTGACAAAATTGCTCAATTTAAATACTGTATACTTGCTGACATAATGCAGTTCTACTTCGACACAAAGTACACACCGAGACCTTTTCAAATGAAAAAGAAAAATTAATCAAGAAATACGATTCTTACTGACATCTACGTAACAGCCACACGCACGAAATAATTAGGTGTACTATACTAATCAATATATATATTTTTTAAATTTGTGTAGCTTACTGACACCCAGAGTTAGTTTATAAAAGAAATAAATATATTACTGTGGAAGTAGATGTTTTGAACACAAGAGGTAAATTTGTCATCGCCCCATGAAGACGTATGAGGGAGTGTGTATATAGGCACTAGAACTGTGGCCTCTTAGCTCTTACGAACGTTTTTAACCTCTTGGTCACACAGTAGTGTCTGGGACAGGACAATATACAGTAAAATGGCAGCCATGATTAGCTTGTATTTTAATAATTGTTCTTAGTATAAATTTAATTAAAATCCTCTTACTGGAAACGTTGCACAAAAAGAGCGGATAAGAAAGACATTCAACTTATTCATTTGTTATTAAGAACGCATAATAATTAACTGTGATTCTTTTATCTTACAGCAACATGAGTGTGAAATTGATTGTTCTCTGGATGTGCTTCTCGCATGCCACTGGGAGCCCCCCGTCATTTCACGGCGATAACTCGGATGGAATTGCAGACAGCATCGGTTACATGACAAAACACATAGTGCAGAAGCACTTTTCACACAGTTACTGTGTGGGGCTCATCGTCGAGAACGGAGAGATATTGAAACATATCCCGACATTCACGTCTACAATTGTAGTCGACATTTCTACGATATCAAAAACCGTCAATAGTAAAGAATTTGAAACCACTCAAGAGGAAGCTGGAGTATTTGATAAAACACTGGTTAAACTGTTAGATCAAGGATGTTTATCAACCATAATACAAGTTTCTAATCCAAAATTGTTGGTGGAATATTTGTATACATCATCGCGAAAGTCTGAATCACGTTCAAACAAACGTTATCTGTATTTGCCGCCTTTTCACAACTCAGGGACTTCAAATTACGATGTTCCTGGCTTATTCAGAATGAAAGAAATGGCTGTAATGCCTGATCTTGTGGTAGCAAAAGTAATCAGAAAACATGAAATTGCTTCTGACACAGATGACGTAAATCAAGGACACAACAGTATTAGACAGCGAATCCCTTATACAAACACGTCTGACAGACGTCTTTCTGGGGTACAGCGACGGGAGAAAGAAGGAATTGAAAGGTTAAGATACTCGCGTCTCAATTGGTATGAAATAGAGGTAGTGACTCACAGATTCGTGGGATCAAATCCTGGCACAGAAGTGTGGTTAGACACGTGGATACCCGGAAAGGGTTTTGCCGAAGACACTGTCTTGTACCCGAACAAGATGCGAAACCTCCATGGCAAAGTGGTTCACTTGGCCGCAGTACCAAATTATCCGCCCTACACCATAATCAACATGAAAACCACCCCACCTGTGTATGACGGAATTGAACTCCGTTTCATCAAAGACTTTGCACGCCATTTAAACTTCACCTTCAGTGTGATCACTGACGAAGTGAACTGGTGGGGAAAAGTAAGCAGAATGATTTTGATTGAATGAATGGTGAACAGGGAAGGATGTGCAAGCAGTTGTGGGGTTCCTGAAGGCACTTCATAATATTCATCACCCATTTTCGTAAACGGTCTTTACAAAGACAAGTCCAGTTGAAGCACAACTCTGCACTTGCCTAGATAAATTTGCTACTGCGTACAGCAGATCATGTACAGTGCAGACTTCACAAATAGGGGGCAGCACTCGCCATCGAGATACTCACGCTTCAAAGTGTTGTCGGTCTCATTATTTAATTGTCAGACACTGGACCTTTAATAACTCCTAAAGCAGAATCTTCCTTGAGAAATTAACAGTAGCTCAGCTAGTCAATAAATTCTCCGTTCTTTATCAAATTTTGTTTCATACCCACGTTAGCAAGAGTACATAAATTTACATAACAATCCCTTGAAATTGTCTATGGCAGTGTTTCAATAATAACACATTACACAGCCATGCTTTAACCTGTTGAAATGCTTTCTTCAGATTTTCAACCTTTCCCCTTACAATTCATTGAAACCAACCAATTATTTTGAGATTATTTAACTAAATAGTTTACAGTTACATAACAGTGTTCCATAATTATCACATACATTCTTATAAATCATCAAACACCTGACCTTAAGCCTGAAGATTTCTATGGTCTACCTCTATCTCTATATCTAATCACGTTTTATCATCAGGTATGGCCAAATGGAACAGGAAATGGTATGTGGGGTAATGTGGCTATGGATGTTGCGGTTATGGGGTTTGGTGCAACATATGCATGGCTCGAAAATTACCCACACCTAGACTACAGCCTGCCTTACTTCCGAAGCTCTGTCCGCTGCCTCACTCCATGCCCTCAGAAGTTGCCTGGCTGGATGACCCCTTTGCTACCATTTACTTCAAATATGTGGGCAGCTGTTGGAATATCTATGCTAATTACATCATCATCACTATACCTTGTGACAAGAACTATAATGTCATTACCAGGTAAGTTCAATCCTCTGCATCCAGACAGGTTCTGGCACCCGAGTGTATCTAATTCATACCAGAAGTATTTTCCTGAAGGGTAAAGTGCAGCTGGGTGATGGTGATAACTCAATCTTATCAAGTGCTGGGGTCAAATATGAGTAGAAGCTATTCTCCCTTTCTCCCCCCCTCCCTCCCCTCCCCATACTTCCACGAGATGCAGCGAGACACCTTTAGCTTTACAATTTCAATATAACTGTGTCTTCATGCTAGACAATGCGGTCAGAAGCTCCCATGTCCAAAGGAGGACACCTGTTTCATCAGAATCCTAATACTTTTTCTGTTTTTAACTCCAATCAATGATAGGACCCAACAGTAAGCCACACCAATGCTTCTCCACAGTGACTGACGCCATTATCAGTTCAGTGGGTCTGCTCCTACTACAAGTACCAGATGAAGAAAGATCACCTCGATACATTCCTCAGCGACACTTGCTGGCATGGCTCATGGTGTACTTTCTGCTCATCAACACAATCTACAGTGGTGGACTAGCCTCTGTTCTCACTGTGCCTAGGTATGTGTGATACCACCTTGCATAAGTGTGATCAAATATAGACTGATGATTAAGGCAGCAAGTACCTCTCAAACACTGATAAACTTCTACCATACACAACAGTGCTATACCCTAGAAGACAGCCATCTTTAAAGAAATTTATATGTGTGAGATGCCATCACTTCCATGTAGCAAAATATTCCTTGAGAAGCTATTAGTTGCACAGCTTGTCAAGAAATTCCCAGCCTCTTATGGAACCTCAAGGTTCTCTAATATATTCACAACAGCCAACCACTGGTCTGTGTTCAGTCTGTCTACTGAGTCACCTTATTTATCAAAGAACCTCTCTAAAGCGGCCTCTTCCTTTCGTGTTTACTGACTAAAACTTTTTATGCACCCGAAAGAGTTAGAAAATATTTCTATCATGAAGTTTCCTGTCCTGGTGGTAAGCTACAGTTCATTCATAAGCTTTGGTGGTATGCAATGTATATATGTAAATAAGTAAATGTGCTGAAGTACATGATCGTTAAGTAACTAAACACAAAATGCACTGCGACTGAATCTACAATTATTTTGCTAGCATATTAAGTGTCACCTAGTTGGGTCTGAAAGGTGGAAAAAACAGCTGGTTATGGAATATTAACCCTTTGAAGAAAGAACTATCAAGGTTTTTCCTGAAAATATTATTAAACAAGTTTAATATTACAACACCACATCCTCAAACCCATGTAATTAAAAAAAATCCTTCAAAAGATTAAGTCAGTTTTGCAAGACTATGAAAGTGTGTACTTAAGCCGTTCATCCCTAAAATGTAAAATTAGAAACAAAAGCAATTCTTATGTCAATGCATTATGAACTTCCAGCTTAATTTGTGTTATATACTTTGTGCAAGTCAAAAACCAATGAATGGTTATTTTCCACTGCCAACAACTGAGACACTGGTATCTTAAATGCTATCCTGTTTCAGGTATGAGCATCCTATAAACAGCATAGCAGACCTTGCACGAAGTGACATGCTGTGGGCAGCAACTACAGAAGCCTGGGTATTTTCTATACAGGAAGCAACAGAGCCTGACTTTAGACGCATCACGCGCAATTTCCGAGTGATGACAGATGAGCAACTGCTGGCACGTGCTTTTGCAGGCGACTTGGCTTTTGCAGTAGAGAGACTTTTGGGTGGTCAGCATATGATTATGTGTGACACTCCAAATCCTTATTTCAAATTTCTATTTAAATTTCAGTAAACATTCATTTCAAATTTGCTTAATGCATATTTAGTTGGCAAAATACAGGAACACTTTTAGACTGTCTGAGTATGACTTTTAGTGAAACAAAATTTAGAATTTTCATGTCTGTCCAAAGTGAGAAATGCATAAACCATTTTAGTTGGAAACCCTAAAAAGAAGAGACACGTTAAACATGTAGGCACAGATGGAAGGACAATATTAAAAAATATCTTAAAGAAAGAGGGGTGTAGTTTTCTTACATAATTGTATAAGAGGAATTACTCCAAAATTATGTGCAATATGAACTATCTAGTGTAGAGCATTAGGGACTATTATAAGAATCATTATCTCTGTACAGCTACTGAACAACAACTATTAACATGATATTCCAAAAAACTGCACAACACCTTCAGCCATTAGCATTAGGTACTGCCCATATTCCATATGACTTAAAACTAAACCATCTAAATATTCCAGGAAACTTTGCCTTGCCACCATTTCTGAATGAGAAGACGGTGACAAATGTACGGGCAATGAGAGAGGACTTGTATTCAGGGTACTGCGTATTCAATGTGAGGAAGGCATCACCCTTTCTGGAGAGTCTCAATACACTTATTCTGAAGCTGCATGCAGCAGGTCTTTTGCTGAACTATGAGGGACAGGTACATTAATAAAGTTTAGGTACTATATGTCTATAACCTAAAATTACAACTACATATTTGTGGGAACAGCACAAATAGTGTAGCAGCTTGCAAGATAACTACAATTGTGTCAATGTTATGGGATGAAACAAGACTACAACATGTCTTTTGAGATCTGACTCAGAGCTTTAAATATGATCACAATCCATGCTACCATGTTCTTCCTTAAAATTAAAAAATCCGTGGCGTAACAGCTCCAGAGAGCCAAAGCCGACTAACTTGGCTGCTAGCCTCACGTTCACATGCCTAAGCAGAGGTGAACGATCATCCAACCAGATATGGGTGACTTGTGGTCAGCACGACGAACCCCCAGCCATTGCTAGCTTTCCTGACTGGATTACGCTACTCATTGTAGCTCCCCAATTTCCTCCCGATGCTGGGTTGGCACTGGTCGAAAGCTCATGAAAAAATTTCTTCTCCCCCGAGATTCGAACCAGCGCGCATTCTGTATCGCCGGTCCAAAGCATGATGCCTCAAACCACGCGGCTACGGCGCGGGACACCATGTTCTTACTACTTCACAGAATATTTTAACACTACAGTGCTGCCATACCGAAAGGTTAAAATAAACCAAAAATATATTCCTTTATACCACAATAATCAGAAATACATAAACTTGTAAGTAACCTTGTGAAACTAGGAATGATATATAACACCCATTAATTTAGTTGTAATTAACGACAGTCTCATCTAAATGCAGGTGGTGCAAGCATTCTCATCACAGCGCATGCAACTAATACTGGCACAAAACGATCAGCCCACGTCAGATTCGGGCCCTGTTACACTGCAAATACAGCACGTGCAAGGATCATTATGTTTCCTAGGATTTGGCCTCTTGATTGCTTCTTTAGTGTTCATTACAGAAGTACTTAAAAAGTAAAATTTATTCAATATAAACATCAACAACATTGTGGGACAATAATTTATTTCTTATTTCTGAACTTGTTCAATTAATGTCTTTGGCATATTTAAATGCATATTTTGATATTCAAACTGAAATGTTTACAAGTTCTCATATAATAGGAGACCGTAAATTTGTAACGTGATTTCTTCTAAATAGTTGATCTGATAAAAAGTTCCAAGACAATGAATGAGAAGGCATTCTAAAGCCATATGGATCTATATCTAGGGAAAAAGGGAATTTATTGGTTAGAGGTTTAATAAAAGAAATGGTGAGGAACAAAATGTTTCTTTTGGTAAAAATAGTCCATACAAAGCAGTATGGAAGATATTATCAAGAATGTTCCCAAAACAAAGACAATTGGGTATCTACTGAAAAGCGTTTTCAGCATGCAAGGATGTGGAAGGTGCTTGTGGCCTATTTGTATGTGCTTTTTTTTAACTTCGCCTGGAAAGAACCACAGAATCATTAGCCAATATAATCAGTAATCTGGCCAAGATTTAAACTGAGAATCTCCAGAATATATTACTGCTATGTCAAACTGCTTAGTGCTACTGCTGACATACATTTTCTGTAAATGAAGAATTCTTAGAGGGGATTAATACAGTATAACAACTATTACCATGGAATAGCGCAAAAGTGGTCATAATTGATAACATACTTTAAAGATGCGTGGAAATGTTTATTCACAGAAAATACAGATATGTTTTGACAACAGACAAAAAAAGCTCATTATATATAAGAGCCAAGGAGTAGGACACTATTGTCCCAACGTGACTGTGTCACAGTGAGGAACATTAAATGGGGATATTAGTGTGCACATGAGTGTTATACTTTGTAATATGAAAATAATAAAACGTTCATGTAACCTTACTTGGACCTGCGCCATAACACGCTTGATCTTTTAACTTCTTCCGATGAGATCCGATTGATTTCTGTGTGTCATTTTCATCTTTATGGTATGAAGTACCACCTGACATTGTCAACATTACCTTTCTAATATCATCTGCAACAGCAGAATTTGCATAGTTCAATAGCTGATGTGGTTTATCCCGGTTACTTGCATTGTTCAATCCACACTTTAACTTAAAGTACTTTTTACTGAGTTCATCAAGTGAACTAAGTAAGCCACTCTCCTCCAACATTAGTACCTCAGACCTGGGGGGTAGATCCTCATCTAAACCAGTATCATCACGTTCTAGATACTTTCTAATGCTTCTCTCAAGTCCATACTCACGTGGCATGGCACAAAAGTGGAATGCATTCTCTGTTAGCAGCTTGCTGAATATAAAAAGTGCATCATAATGTTGTTCCTCACGTAGCACTGCCATGAGACTGTAAGAATCTTGCCATTCCTTGAAATTTAGACGAATCTTCACAAGATATTCTCCATCTGCAAGTGGTGTGTTCAGTAAATAATTAACCCTAATAATGAAAACCATACAAATAATAAAATTATGGCTGGCTGTGCTCTGTAGCGCAAAGTTTAAATATATATATTGTGAACAATGAAACGCTCCCATGTGACAGGATGGAAGAAATAGCCTCTAGATATCAATGGTATCTATAAATATACTGAACACTTGAGGACAGCCAACATGGGGGTGGGACAGTGAGCAGTCAGTTTCTTGTTTGTTCAAGTCATCAGAATTCAAACTAGTACAGTTACAATACAAATTATTCCTCAGATAGAAACATGAAACAATTGTCAAAAATAATTCACCACTTGAGGAGCTACCCATTACAAAACTAAAAACCCCCTCTATATTGGACACTTTTAATTGGAACCGGCGAATATCCTATAATATTACATATCCACAATACCCTATATCTTGGACACCCCTTTTGTTGTAAGTTTGACAGGTGCACCCATGTTCTTAGCTTCGATGCTTTTATGGGAAATGTTTACAGTTAGTATTTTGTTGTTTTGAATTTCTGACTGATGAATGCCTCCTACCTGAGGATTTGCTTATGGTTGAGGGTGTGAGACATTGAACACATCACTGGAATGCAGTGAAAGTGTATAGTTATTCTTTTGTTAAACACCTCACTTTGTCAGTACTGTGCTTGCAACTGAGTTAAACAGTGTTAACAGAAATTGGAAAGGTATGCTTTCCCTCATAGTCAACCAGGAATGGTTGAAACTTTATTCGGATTGCGGCGAAAATTAGAAAGAGGATGGCGAATTCCAAGAAAAAAGCAAAAAAGCAGTGTCTTGTGACAAACTTTTTTACAAGAAATAAGTGACATCATATGTTGAGATAATGTCGTACGTACAATTAAAAAAATACATTCTAAACATTGCAACCATGAGAGTGGGTTTCAAAAGATTATTATTATTATTATTATTATTGTCATTAATTCTTAATTCGAGCAAGCCTACAGTAGTTAGATTATGTAAGTAACTAGATTACATTGTCGGTAAACGTGAAGTATTGGCGCCCTTCCCTTTGAGCTTATCCAGACAAGTTTAATTCAGTGAAAACGAAATTTGTAAAAATTTAATTTACCCTTTTGATTTCTCTTATCAGTAATTTCCTTTTTTTGGGAAGGGCTCCATAATACTCTACAATTACCACATTGTCATTACACCACAATTTGAAAAGATGTTTTTCCCCTTTCCCGCTATCCTGGACACCTCTGTAAGTTGGAAACATTATTGTGGAACCGCAAGTGTCCAAGTTAGAGAGGTTTTACTGTACTAGAGTGATAAAAAATGTTAAAATAAAGCATAGTAATTTGGCATTTGAAGTCACAAGGGATTGAACCTGGGTCCCTGTGGTTAGAAGCCAGTAATACAGCCTGCCTGAACCTAACTGATGGTATGATCTGCTGTTGCTCACCTTCAATAGTTGGCTGCTTATAGTATAGTCCATACAGGAAGTACAGTCCACAGACCCTTGTCTGTAGTGGTTTTGGTGGAAGGAAGAATTCCTTTGCAATTTTCAGAACCTAGAATTAAGTGATACACCATGTAAATCCATTCTTGAGTTTTCTTCACTTAGGGTTAAATGTTTATGGTTCCAGTACAATTCTTTTATTTTCATACTGCAACCATAGAAGTACTACAGCTTAGATATTTTTGGAACATTTCTTGCTTGTCTTCCCTTGTGCATATGTGCATATATACGGGTTGTTAAAATGAAATCTATTTGCAGTGCCATGCACTGGAAGGTGATGGACCATCCCCAATATAGCCTAGACCTGTCACTCTGTAACTTCCACATGTTCATCCCCCTCAAAAAAGCATTAAAAGACCACAGATTTGGGTTGGATGTCAAAGTCCTTGTGATGCAGTCGTTCTATCAGTTGCCCGTTAAATTCTTTACAGAGAGAATCCATCAGAAGGTATATCAATGGGATGCCTGTCTCAGTACCTACAGGAATAGCTTTTAATGGCATCTACTCTTTTAGGTTTCATTTGAACAAGCTTCATAGAGATGTATTTTCTGAGTACCCCAGTAAACTGCAGAAAAGCAAATGTAAATGTCAATACACGAAAGTAAAGGTTTTAAGGTAGTGCCAGGAATGTGTGCAGAACAACACATTTCCAGCACTTGCTATAACTGGAATAAGTTTTATTTTGAATGTGCTTAGAATGTATGTTTGACACTTTGATTACTGATCTAAATCTCTGCAGGCTGTGTGACAAGTGAAATGATCAATTCTTCCACCTCAGATGTTCAGTGATTAGTAGGGATGCTAAAAATAATCTCATTGTATATGCAGTATTTAAAACTAATCCAAAGCTTTTAACATTTCACTGTGTGTTTTAAAATAAAACAGAGAAGTTACATAATAGAATAGCATTCATCATTCAATTTAAATGAATAATGGCTTTTAAAGACAGGAAACATAGCAATGCTGTACAATAAAAAATAAAAATTAGATATATGTAATATGGCGGCATCTACCAGTATTTGGTTCTCATGCACCATGTGTTTGATCAGGCAACAGAGATTTTTTTAATCCTATTAAAGGGGTAATCATCATAATGCTGATATTAATAATAATCCGTGGCGTAACAGCCCTCTGACAGCCCAAGCCGACTAGCTGGCTGCTGGCCTCACGTTCACATGCCTAAGCAGAGGTGAACGATCATCTAATCTGATACAGGGTGACGTGTGGTCAGCACGACAAACCCCCAGCCATTGCTAGTTTTCATGACCGGATTACGCTACCCATTAGCTCCACAATTTCCTCATGATGCTGGGTTGACACCGGTCGAAAATCTCATGAGAAATTTCTTTCCCCGAGACTCGAACCAGCGCACATTCCGTATCACCGGTACAAAGCATGTTGCCTCAGACCACACGGCTACTAGTAAAATGAAAATATCTTACAGCAGGATAAGCAATAATACACCTGTATGCAAGATTGGCTGTAGAGATCAAATAAAGAAAGGACGGATATTTTGCAACTCAACTACCAAACACGTCCCAATTTATTGCCTCAACACAGAAAATGTTAATGTAATTATTCTTGCAGAAACATACTATAAATTCACTAGTGTTTGCACTACATGCCTAGTTTCTTTTCTATGTATCACATTTTCTGAACATTTGCTCACTCCTCTTCAGTATTATCAGTTATACTTTACAGTGTGATGGGTTATTTATTTCTTCAGTAGACAGATATCACACATAATCTTACCTCTTCTGTGAATTCATACAGTTCTGCAAAACTCTCTCGGCCACAATATATGCATGAAAAGTGCATGTCCTGCCAGATTTTAACAAATTCTTTGAAGCGAACAGATTCTGTTGCTACAAACTTCTTCAGCAGATTATGGCAGTCAGTCTTGACACCAGCTGCAATGTAGTTAAGATTCATATCTGTAATTAAATTAAATATATCTCAAAAGTAATTAGTTGCTTGAAGCATGCATACATTTTACAATTTTTCAAAATATTTAAAAACATATCCAATGGGTACCGTGGTTCTTCCCTTTGTGGCAAACCAGCCACTCACCTCCAGCTAATGCAAAGAATATGAATGTACAGAGCTACACCTCCACTTCAAATATGTCTGCATGGTGTGGTACTTAATTAAGCACACGGAAAAACTACACTGCAGATACATGGATAAAAGTACAGCACTGGATTAAGATTCTCACACTATGGAAGAACTTTCTATCGGCATTTTCAGGCAGGAAAAAAACGACAAATTACAGTTTGTTAAATCAATGTCTCCAGCCTCCATTAAGTTAGCTACGGTCTGTTTAACTTACTCTTGGTTTAATCCTGACAGAAACACATTCGTATCCTTCCATGAAACATATTCTTTATCTGTTACCTAACTTAGAAGTAGTTACTTCAACCATAAATGCAAAGCTCGTAACACTTAAAGATTCGATTAAAAAGCACCGCAAATAATCGTTATGAAAACCAACACTATAATGCATTCTAGGGGCAAACAGCATTGCCAACATCGAGATTCATACAACCACAAACGAATATACATCATCCTGCACAGAAAAAAACAAATTGAAAATTCAACACTTTTTACAGACAAGGAGGCAACATGAAAGAGGTGCTGCCACCTTTGAACAATTCACAAGTTAACAGAGGATAAACGTGACATTAGCCCTGTCACGAATAAGCTTACCTACTCTTCAACCATGAAAATTCTCGTTCATCATTAAGACATGCTACTCATATACCATGAATAATTTGTAAATCCTGAAATCGGAAGTACCTTATGTCTCTACGGAACTTCATACATCTTTTGAGTAAAAATTAGTATGTGTATAATAATTTTCATATAACCTTTATCCATCAATGAAGATAAGTATTACAGCAAAAAGAGAGTTCCTGAAACATCACAATTATAATAAGCATGTGATTCATATCAATCAATAATCACCTTACTAAAAAAAATCACTGAACAATAAAGTGCTCGGATATTCATAAGGACTGAGGTCAGTTGAAGTTCGAAATAAAATAAATTCTTATCACACATATTTATAATCTTGAAGTGCAAGCAAACACCATACCCAATCCAACCAATAAGAAGTGCGTCTAGTACACTTTCAAGGTCTACAAAGTAAGATGCATATAAAATTTACGGCTATGCTAGTGACAAACTCAAAAAAATTATTCCATAATGCACCAAATATTAAAATATGTCAGTGCTTAAATTACCGCTACCGATAATAAAGAACGCACGAAGCCCTAACATTGACTACTTGGTTGGCGCCACTGCGCATCACGGAAATTAAACGTCTGTGCAGGTGCCCCACTAACCTAATCTAACCCAAACAAACCAAAAGGGGGGTAATCTGGACCAGTGCAAAATGGCTTCCTGCGCACGAATTTTGGAAAAAGCGAATGGATGCTCAGAAATTATTGAAATTTTGTATGGACGTCGTGCCACAGGTAAGTTAATGTTATTCATACTCTATTATGTCTTAACGCTTTTTATAAATTCGCACGAAGGCATCAAAGTCGTGAGGTGGAGGGTGCGCAAAATCGGCCACGACCACTTATCAATAACGATATTACGCGCTCACACAATCCCCATATAACACAAATAGTGCTTATATGCGTGTAATACATCATATCACGTCTAAAATTACATAATGTTTCCACAAGAATTATTTCTTGCAAAATTTGATGCAGTGTAGATGTTGACGCAAATACGTAGCAGATTCATGCGTAACGATGACCCAATCTAACTCACTATAAATAAGTATCATGTAACGAAAGAATCGGAATAAACATACGTGAATGATAGTACGCCATTTACTAATATAAATAGCCGCACAAAAAAA